AGACTCGAATTGTAACCAAAGTTAATATACATGTTTATACATAACTAAGAAAACTAATAAATATATTTTTTTAAAAAAGTTTGGGGGGCACCCGTGACCCAGTTGATTCTGGGTCTGTTTCGAACCTGGGCAGTGCTCCCTTTCCTGATTCCGTGACTTCTCCCCGGCACAGGTCCACGCCTCTAAAAGCAACAGCATGAACGTGTGGGGAGGGCTGCAGGGGATGATACGCGAAGGGGGCGTCCGGTCCTTGTGGCGAGGCAACGGCATCAACGTGCTGAAGATCGCCCCGGAATCTGCGATCAAATTCATGGCTTACGAGCAGGTAGGACACGGGGAGGCCGTCGCCCAGGGCTATTTCTGGGCAGGAACGCACAGGAGCGGAGTTCTGGCTGGCTCCCGAGTTGGCCACACCCAGCAGGAACTCATTAGCATAATAGGCCACACCCAAGAGCAGAAACTCATTAGGATTGGCTAATGAGTCCCTGCTACAAAAAAGGCCCTGGGTTTTGACAACAAACAAGGTAAACAGAATAAGAACCAAAAGGTGGGTGTGGCTGGATGACCACACTTCTGGTAACATGGGGGTGCGGCCTGATATGCTAATGAGCTGTGTTGTCAGGGGTGTGGCCCAATATGCTTATGGGTTTCTGCTGTTGGGTGTGGCCTGTTATGCTAATGAGTTCCTGCTGGGCTTTTTCTACAAAAAGAGCCCTGCCGGCGTTGCCACTTGGCCTGGCGATGCGGACGGGAGGCGTTTCCAAACAGCACTGCAGTCAGGGTTCCCAGCTTCACTCTGGGAAATTCCGGGAGATTTGGGAGTGGAGCCTGGGGAAGGTGGGGTTTAAACGGGGGGGGGGGGGGGGGGGGCCCGTGGTTTGGAAGAGGCTGTCCACCTTCCAGACCACCTGTTTTCTCCGGAGGAGCTGAGCTCTGTCGTCTGGAGAGCCGCTGTAACTCTGAGAGATCTCCAGGCCTCACCTGGAGGCTGAAGACTGTGAACTCATCCAGGACAGCATTTCCCCCACATGAATGGACTCCCTTTGGGCATGTCTTGAGGAAGAGGAGGAGATGACAATGATGATGATGACGACGATGTGATTGGATTTATACTCCGCCCTTTACTACCCGAAGGAGTCTCATAGCGGCTTAAAATCTCCTTCCCCCTCCCCACAACAGGCACCCTGTGGGACAGGTGGGGCTGAGAGAGCTCTCTCGAGAACTGCCCTTGAGAGAACAGCTCTGAGAGAACTTGTGACTGACCCAAGGTCACACCAGTAGCTGCCTGTGGAGGAGTGGGGAATCAAGCCCGGTTCTCCCAGATTAGAGCCCGCGCTCCTAACCACAACACCAGACTGGCTTTCTTCAAGAGTGCCTGGGATCTTTATTCTGGGAGTTCGGAAACAATAATTTATTACTAGGATTGGCATCTCCCCAATGGGGGCGGGGTTCTTTCTGCTTTCGGGGGGCCCAATTCACTGCCAGCCGTCAGGGGGAGCCCCATCCCCAAAGAGCCCCATCACGCCCAACATGCCTGGTGCAATGACATCACCCAGAGGTGACCTCATCGCACGGGGCACGTCGTGCAGGGGACACTCTAGCATTTGGGTAAAAACTCTATGGTGACCATAGAGGTTTTTTTAACCTAAATGCTAGAGTGTCCCCTGAATAATGTGCCTGGTGCGATGATGTCACTTCCGGGTGAGGTCATTGTGGTGTGTGTGCATTTCGCGCGCATGCCAGAAGACCCCAGGAGCCAGGCTGGAGCCCCCTGTTGGGACATGGGTAAGACCCGACAAACCCCATTTCTTCCAGCCAGGGCTATGGCTTCCCACCGTGCTAAAACTAATGAAGTTTTTTCTTAATTTGTAAGGAAGTGTCAACACTAACATTAAGACAAAGTCAAAACTATAACCATCTTACATTCAAACATTGTTACCTAGACAGATCACTACAAAAGAGTAAGCGGTGGGCTGCTGCGGTCGCATCCTGTCGAATTTTACCTGTCCCGAAGTTCCGTTAAAACAGTGAAGCTGGTTCACGCTCTCTAGTGACGGAGGACCTGATTGCAATGAGTTCCTTGTGCCTCAAGTTAGACCTTAACGGAGCCCTGAAGTTGAATATCTGATAACGTCCTGTATTTTTGGTAGCTGCTCTTGCTCTGTGTTGAGTTGCTGGTGCTTTCCGACACCTTTCTCAGCAGCAATCAAGTTCCCACACAGTCTTCGGCAGGGATCTCCAACCTGGTCCCCCTGGGCACCCGTCGACAGCTTTTCTGGCACCCATGTGTTTCTAGGAAGTGGGTGGGGTCGGGTGAGGTTTTTGCCCAGCGAGGCTTCTGATTGGAGATTTGATTGGCTGGGCAGATGTTTTAAAAATGTTGCTTTGCCAGCAGCTGCCACCACAGCACCAGGATAAGAACATAAGAACATAAGAGACGCAATGTTGGATCAGGCCAAAGACCCATCCAGTCCTACACTCTGTGTCACACAGTGGCCAGAAACACCAGGTGTGACTGAAGTTAAGCTGGCTCTTTCTGGACCTCACCAAGTGTGGTCCCTGCCCACACCGGTGGAGAACCACTGAGCGGTGGTCCTCTCCGCTTTGTGCATTTTAATATTCCCTCCGTATTTCTTCTGTCACCCAGGCGACTGAGGTCAGGGAGCCGGAGATCTTCCTCAACAAGTATAGTCTCGTTCCTTAACAGCAGAGTCCTTGCCAGGCCCGTAGCTAACGCGGGGCCAGTGGTGCCTGGCCCCCTTAGAATCTCTTCTGGGCCCCCTCTCTCCCGGGCCAGTCCCAAATTGAATTACTGTGATTAACTTTGATTTGATTAGCTGAGGACCCTCCCCCAGGGAAACCCCCCCCCCAAAAAAATCCCTAGCTACGGGGCTGGTCCTTGCATTGAGAGAAACCAGTGTGGTGAACCAGTTGGAGTGTCAGGCAGGGATATAGATCAAGATAGACGCCTGCGTTCGTCTGTCTGTAGCAGCTGAAGAAAGCAAGAGTCCGGGAGCACCTTCGAGACTAACACAATTTGTGGCAGGGGAGGAGCTTTCGGGAATCACCGCTTACTTCTTCAGAGTCATAAGAACACACGGGAAGCCAATGTTGGATCAGGCTAGTGGCCCATCACACAGTGGCCAAAAAAAACAGGGGCCCTCAGGAGGTCCAGCAGTGGGACCAGGACACCAGAAGCCCTCCCACTGCTGCCCCCCCCAAGCACCAAGAATACAGAGCATCCCTTGCCCCAGACCAAGAGTTCCTATCTAGACCTTGTGACTAATAGCCATGGATGGACCTCTGCTCCATATGCTTATCCAATTCCCTCTTATAAGAACACAAGAGAAGCCAATGTTGGATAAGGCCAATGGCCCATCCAGTCCAACACTCCGTGTCACACAAGTGGCCAAAAATACCAGGTGCCCTCAGGAGGTCCAGCAGTGGGGCCAGGACACTAGAAGCCCTCCCACTGTTGCCCCCCCAAGCATCAAGAATACAGAGCATCCCTTGCCCCAGACCGAGAGTTCCCATCTATCCCTTTTGGCTCATAGCCACTGATGGACCTCTGCTCCATATGTTGATCCAGTTCCCTCTTACAAGAGCACAAGAGAAGCCCATGTTGGATCAGGCCAGTGGCCCATCCAGTCCAACTCTCTGTCTGTCACACAGTGGCCAAAAATACCAGGGGCCACCAGGAGGTCCAGCAGTGGGGCCAGTAGCACCTTGAAGACTAGCAAAAGTTGTGGCAGGGGTAGTAGCTTTCAGGAGTCATGGGCCCCTTCCTCAGAGTCCAGTCACACCTTCAAGACTAACACAATTTGCCCTCTCTCTAGATAGCCCAGGCAAGCCAGATCTCGTCAGATCTCGGAAGCTCAGCAGGGCCGACCCTGGCAAGTACTTGGATGGGAGACCTCCTTGGAATACCAGAGGTGGGAGGCGGGGGAAGGCTTTACTCGGCCACCTCTCTGAATATACTCCAGGCTTAGGGGTCAGTCGCCAGAGGTCAATGTGACTTCCAGGTGTGCACACACACAGGCACATATGAAAAATACAAAAAAGAAAGACTAACACAATTTGTGGCCGGGGAGGAGCTTTCGGGAGTCACTGCTCACCTCTTCAGATACTAATACCTGGGAGACCCAGGTTCGAATCCCCACTCTGCCACGGAAGCTTGGGCCAGGTGGGTGAGCTGGGGCCAGTCACGCACTCTCAGCCTCACCTCCCTCACAGGGTTGTTGTGACAGTAAAAGGGAAGGGAGGAAAACGGCGTCAGCCGCTTTGAGTCTCCGTTGGGATGAAAGGCTGGGCATAAATGAAAGACATTGCCCAGTGGCCTTATTACAACCTCAGCCTCACCTACCTCACAGGGTTGTTGTGACAGTAAAAGAGAAGGAAGGAGAACGGCATCAGCCGCTTTCAGACTCCATTGGGGTGAAAGGCTGGGCATAAATGGAAGAAATTGCCCAGTGGCCTTATTATAATGCAGGGTCCCTCCCCAGGTGTAGAAATCCAACACAGCCTCTCTCGCTCATACCTGTTGCCTCCGCCCCATCCGTGGAGGTTAAGGAGGGACCTGCCGAGGTGGTCCGAGGGTCTCAGCCCCATTGCTTCCCCCTGCAGATCAAGCGGGCCATTCGTGGGCAGCAGGAGACCCTGAGGGTGCAGGAGAGATTCGTCGCCGGCTCGCTGGCCGGTGTCACGGCCCAGACCATCATCTACCCCATGGAGGTAAGCAGGGGTCATTTCGTACAGGAGCGGAGCTCCGGCAATAAAGAGCCCAAGCCCCGCCCCCTGCTCCCAGCAGCCCTCAGTCAGAGCAAGAAGCAGCCAGGTAAGTTGCAGAGGGCCCCCCCCGGGCCCCCAGTCCAAAACAGTCCAGTGGCACCTTCAAGACCAAGTTTTATTCAGGTACAAGCTATCCCTCCTCTGTGAGGGCAGATCTGCAGGTCCCCCCCCCAATAGCTAGCAATCCAAAACAGTCCAGTGGAGCCTGAGCGGTGGGTGTTGCCTTCTGACACACTTCCGGTGATGGAAGCCACGGCATCCCACCCAAGGAGGGCTTTCTGTTTGCTCGGGACGCACCACGTGGACAAGTCTGGACTCTCCCCTAAACAGCTCAGGGAGAATACTTGTTCACGGAGGCTCGGCTGCAGAACAGAGCAGCAGGGATGGTCTCAGAGACATGAATACACGCGTCAGTTCCTTCGTCCATCAAGGCCAGTCTTGTCTACTCAGACCAGCAGCTGCTCTCCAGGGTCTCAGGCAGAAAAGGGTCTTTCTCGTCACCTCCTGCCTGGTCCTTTTAACTGGAGATGCTGCTGGGGATTGAACCTGGGGCCTTCCGCATGCCAAGCAGAGGCTCTGCCACTGAGCCAGGGTCTCAGGTCAAGGTCTTTCCCATCACCTCCTGCCTGGTCCTTTTCACTGGAGTGGCCAAAAACACCAGGTGCCACCAGGAGGTCCAGCAGTGGGGCCAGGACACCAGAAGCCCTCCCACTGTTGCCCCCCACCCCAAGGACCTAGAAGGCAGAGCATCCCTTGCCCCAGACATAAGAACATAAGAGAAGCCCATGTTGGATTACGCCAATGACCCATCCAGTCCGACACTCTGTCACACAGTGGCCAGAAATACCAGGGGCCACCAGAAGGTCCAGCAGCAGGGCCAGGACACCAGAAGCCCTCCCACTGTTGCCCCCCACACCAAGCCCCAAGAATACAGAGCATCCGTTGCCCCAGACATAAGAACATAAGAGAAGCCAATGTTGGATCAGGCCAGTGGCCCATCCAGTCCAACACTCTGTGTCACACAGTGGCCAAAGATACCAGGGGCCATCAGGAGGTCCAGCAGTGGGGCCAGGACACTAGAAGCCCTCCCACAGTTCCCCCCCCCCGGCACCAAGAAGACAGAGCATCCCTTGCCCCAGACCGAGAGTTCCTATCTACACCTTGTGGCTAATAGCCACTGATGGACCTCTGCTCCATACGCTTATCCAATTCCCTCTTATAAGAACCTAAGAGAAGCCAGTGTTGGATCAGGCCAAAGGCCCATCCAGTCCAGCACTCTGTCTCACACAGTGGCCAAAGATCCCAAATACCGGGAAACTTTGTGGGAGGAGCCTGGGCAAGGCAGGGTTTGGGGAGAGGCGGGACCTCGGCAACGTGCAATGCCATGGAGTCGACCCTCCAAAGCAGCCATTTTCTCCAGGGGAACTGAACTCTCTTGTCCAGAGAGCAGTTGTAATACCAGATCTTCAGGCCCCATCTGGAGGTTGACAACCCTAGATCCGTACCCCGAGGGGGTTTGCAAGCTAAATCTCAGAAACACAACTTGAAGCACTCGGGACATTGAGGTGTTGGCTTTTTGTTCTGTCCCGACCGGGTTTCTTTAACCCCATTTCCACTCCAGCTTAGCATGTTACTTAATGAGGCTTTTACCAGAAGCTTAACTGTGCCGACCCGGAATGAACCAGCCGGGTTTGTGGACGCGGGCCAAGAAGGATTGTACTCCTTCTGCAAGGAGGTGTGCTCCCGTCAGCCGCCTGTGGAGAGAAACACCTTTTGTGTCTCAGTTCGTCAACTTCTTTTTTTCCTCTCCTCCAGGTTCTGAAGACGCGGCTGACCCTGCGCAAAACCGGGCAGTACGCGGGAGTAGCCGACTGTGCAAAGAAGATCCTGCGGAGGGAAGGGATCCGTGCCTTTTACAAGGGATACCTGCCAAATATGCTGGGCATTATCCCCTACGCTGGCATCGACCTGGCCGTTTATGAGGTCAGTGTGAGGTGTTTTTTAAAGTGTTTTTGTTCTATTGAGAATATATTTGTGCCACCGTTCCGCCCAGCCGGGGTCCGCAAGGCGGCACAGATTTTTAAAAAAACCTCCAAACGTTCAAGGAATTAAAAATACAGTAAAAATGATGAAATGATTGAATTGAAAACACGTAAAACAAACAACACCGGAAGGAGGGCCAGTAATAGGGAAATGAGGAA